TAAATGCAGTGTATCTTGTGTGTTCATGAAAATATAGACCTATCATGTGGGATGTCATGTGAGGTAAATGAATCTTTCCGCTGGGGACTTAGGGCAAGCCAGTGTGATCTGGTTTCCCAAATGTAATTGCTAACCTTCTGCTGGGCTCTCAGAGACCTCAGCTATATTCCTATCCCTGACCCTTTGCTGTGACCTTCCTCCATCTACTCTCCTCAGACGTTTTTTATTCCCACAGCTGGGTCATCCCCCGAAGGCTTTCTTCTGCCTGCCCAGCTGATGACATTTTTCTGGCTCCAGAAAACTTCCGAGATTGTTACAAACAGTGCTTGTGGGGACAAAGAATTGTCCCGATTAAAACAACAACAAAAAAACTGGGACGGTCTTGCAAGAATCTGGATGGGTGGCCATCCCACACAAATGCTTTGTGATGTTTCTCTCTTCTTTTTTTCCCCCTCATCATTAAACACGAACAATATCACTATTTTGAAAACCTGGGAGTTAAACTAAGATTTTAGTTATGGTCTAAGGTCTATTTAATGGTAGTGCTGCTGAGATACCTAAAACACTTTTTCTCATTTAATTACTTTAGGGATCCGATTACTTCATGTTGCATTTGCATGTTCTAAGGGATGGGCAGTTATTGAAAAATAAGAATAAATTCAACCCTAAATATAAGTCTTGAATTAATAGGCCTTTTACTCACTGCAGTTTTGAGAATGACTAGTGGGGAAAAAAAGGTTCAATCAGTTCAACTACAATGGAGTAACTATGTTTCATTTTACTATATTTATTAGAATGTTATTTAATTATTATTATTTGCACAATGGGCTTTTGCTTCTAACTGATTTACACTGAATTTAAATGGACGTGAATCTGTTGTCATGAAATGGAATGAGAAAATGTTTACAGCTTTGTCAGTGTTTTCCACCAATATTCCGCCTTTCCAATAGCTGCAGGACATGCTGTTGGTATTCAGAGGCTTCTAGAAAGAGATATGGCTAAGTTTATTTTTCTAATCTCTAAATTCAGCACATAGGTCACCACTCAATCACCTTATCTACGTGTGCATTAAGCCCTGACTATTAAATGCTCTTAGTCATTACACCTTCCAGTGAGGCCTGAAAACCAGGGCAGGGATCAAAATCCCTAATTTCTCTGCCACTGAACACACATTACTTATTTCTAGAAGTTTCTTAACTTCTCTTTATATCATTGCTAAAATTTTAAATAAAGATTACACATTATCACAGAGAAAATGGACTTTTAAAAAATCCTTTATACAGAAAAGAAATACTAATTTCTGATACTTTTTTTTTCATGCTGTGTCCAGTGTGTTTATTCTGTTTTTAGTTCATGTCATGTTTGTAATAATAACTAGCACTGCTATTTGTGGAAACCACTCTATTTTTAGCCTAGAAAAGGGGTTGAACAAAACATCTTTGTTTTTCTGGCCTGATCATGGACAGCTCTCATGCATTCTTAATTTATGGCCAATCGTCTGCTATTATTAGGTGTCCCAAAGTAATTCATCTACTAATTGTGACCGAGGCTGACTAATAAATGATTGTGCATGAAGCTGAGCACCCCTGGATGCTCACAAAGCCGAATTTCTGATTCAATTGTAGAACTTTTCAGTATGGGACAAGTGTACTAAGGTCTTTCCCTAATAGTTTCACTTGATGTCCATCCAGTCTTCCACACAGACTATCATGTTCCTCAGACAAAAAGAAAAGAAAAATTATCTTGTCTGTTCTTCTCAATAGAGTCCATAAAAATCTGCTATTAATAATTTCCGTAGCAAGTAAAAAAAATTGCCTTTTATTTGCCTCTAAAATAAGTACTAGGTAAATATATTAATTTTGTTAAATGGAAACTTAGAGTAAGGTACTCAAACTCACTTTTTGTTTGTCACAAAATCATCATCAAATGGGACTAGATGACAGCCCTTGGAAACCAAAGTAAATAGAAAGTAAAGATTTTCTATGTGAAAGTTTCTGAATGGCACTTTGATTAGTGTATATAACTCCCTCCAACAATCCATTCATTGCCACATTTATCATTTCTTCAGGGTCTCCCATAACTATCATTAAACATGTGCCTCTCTCTGTGTCTCCCATAACTATTATTAAACATGTTCCTCTCTCTCTCCTAATGTGCTACCATTTCCAGACACTTTAAGGAATTAATAAGAAAAAATCCCGATGGCAAGCTGCAGAGCCCGCATACTTGAGTTGAAAATGCATTGTTTAAAACTCTTTACTGAAAAATAATGCATTGCAATTAAAACATGAGAATTGTTTTTTAATAGTTTAGATCCATATTTTCTCACGTTCTGTGTTTTCTTGTTAGTGTTTATGACAAGGGAAACTTTGTGGCTGAGTAGATCTGTGTTGGGGGACATTGATTTCAGAAGTTAAGACAGCCTCTCAAATATCACTTGTTTTTCTTAAAACTTGCTTTAATCATTTTATTTTATCCCATCTTGATTTTATTCATATATGAAGACTGTTTATAGGGGCCTGGAGTTTGATGAGCATACTAGAAGCTGTGTAATATAACCTTTTATTTCAATTATTAAAATTTATTTTTTTTAATTTCCAAAGAATTCCTCCTAGTATTTATGTTCTGAGATTCCATTCCAAATACAAATTCACAATATCCATAACCTTTCACGTTTTAAAAAAATTTTCCTGTATACTTTCTCTGCCTGCGTCTTATCTACTTCAAGCTAATTAAGAGAAATATTGGAGCATAATACAACTACATATCCTCTAATAGATTTTATCTTAGACAAAGTGAGCTTCCCTCTTACAAAAAATTGAATTGTGAGAATTTTGCTGTGATCTCATTCAAGCAAAGGTCTACTGTGCATATCACTTTTCCTAATATCTTTTTCAAACACTTGCCATTTCCATATTTTTCATTTCCCATCAACTGGGAATGGGAAAATGATGATGAACCTTCTACAACTTTCTGAATAAATGAATAGCTACTTTTAGCAAACAATTTGCTTCCTACCATATAGGATATTTTTTAGGGATGGGACCAAGTTTTATTCTATATCCAGAGTCCCCTGAAGATTTGTTGTTTGAGCTGTAAACAGCACATGATGTTTTAGGCTGCACATGTTTATTTCCGTTGAAAGAACATGTCCTATTTTAGAGGAAGGAAAGAAACTTGTACGACATCAAATGTTTCTTGCAAAACAATTTGATGAAATAAATGTAAGTGAATCAGAAACATGTGAATTGTATTTCAATTAAAATTAATGGGTTTAACTACAAAGTGGGTAAAATGCTTGGAGGAAAGAGTGTGGTAAGGCGGGAAGTGACATTTGTTTTGTTTTCGTCAGTCTTGGATTCTTGAAAAATGGCCTAGTACTCTGAATTCAACCTCATTCAGATCCTCGTAAGCCTAATAATGGAGCTGCAGAATGGGATAGTAACATGCACATTCATGTGACAGTTTTATTTGGCTCCAATTACAATGTATGCATCAAAAATTGCCACTATGCGATCCTTCCAAATCACTTCCAATTTGAAGTTAGTGGTTTTTCTGTGTAATTCTTTTAAGGGTAAACAAGAAATTGTAATAACACTAAAATATATATTTTTATATTTTTATAAATATATATATATATATGTATAAAATATACATTTTTTCCCTCAAACTCACACATAAACTTCATATTTATTTCCTCTTTCTAACTGAAGATGATCGGATCTAAATGGAAAACACATGGTGCTGAATGTGTACACACATATGCATGAGATGGGTGGGGGAGAAAAGGTGTTGAACGAACAAAGACAGAGAAAGAGAGACAGACAGAGAGAAGGGGAAAGGATTAAGCAGTGAAGCAGAGCTCGTCCATCCAACCTCATTTCATAAGTAAAACCCCCAAATCACACAAATTATTTGAGAGTCACAAAAATTTTATCTCACAGTTTTATATTCATATTTATGCTTGCTTAAAAACAAGTACATAGCTTTTCTTCATATTTTGAATTCTCAATTAAAAAAACCCCACATTACTATAAAATTAGAAAAAAATCAACTTCTGAAAAAAATTTAAAAAGGCTTACAAATAGGCCTCCCTGCCTCAAAATATGAGTAAGTTTGATGTGTGCTATGACATTTTAGTCTCTCAACTCTCAGTCTCTCAAGACAGGGATATTTTAAATGTTCCAGAAACTTCCAGGAGGCAAGCAGTACATAACTGGAGTACATATTCATATTTTTTGAAGTAATACATAACACTGCTTCAGTAGTCTTCTGAATACACCACTTGGTGGAGAAATGTATGAATTGAAGGTGTAGTATCCTGTAGGGCTATTTTGGTATGAAAGGAGCCTGTTTTGTTGCTTCCTGAGAACACGATGATGTCATTGGAGTTTAGCGTCTCTCTGTCCACCCAGAACTCTGCTGCTGCTCATCACTGTGTTTGGAAAGAGGACACTGCTCCTCAGTGTCTGTGCCAAACAGTTCATTGCCTCATACTGTTCTAGAAGTGTTTCTCCTCCTTGCTTTTCACAGGCAGAAATTGTGGGGAGTCACTCTTAAAATATTTGTTCCATAATTGAGCAGGAGATACATTTTAGCTCCTAGCACAGCCATTTGTTATTTTATTTAACCTTCCCTTCATCCTCCTTTAGCAGATGAAAAATAGAGTGGCTAAGATGACTGTTTCATTTGCACCTTAAATTAGCAACAATACAACAATTACGACTGTTTCTGAGCCCCCAAAAGTCACTCTTACCTCCAAAGTTGTAAATGAAAATATAGGAATAGTGTGAATGCTATCTTTGTTACCACCAACGTTCAGTATTTATAAGGTCATCAGTTAAGAAGGTGTCATTATGTAGGACCTCCGTTCAGAACATTATTATGGTGGAGCATTTCCTTCCGGGAGGGTTGTTTTCCATCACGACTTGCTACAGTAATGTTTCTTAAGTTAGCAGCCTCTGATCCTTTGCTCTTTGTGCTGTTCCACTTGATGGCAGGCCTACCCTTGTAGCAGTGATAAGGAATGTGAAGTTGGGAGATACTGCCACAGTCCCCACCAAGGATCGTCAGCCTGCATGGTGTGTCGAAGGAAGAAGAGGCGCTGCCATAGGGATGGCATGTGTTGCCCTGGCACCCGCTGCAATAACGGTAAAAGAACTCGCCAAGTGTTCATGGCCTTTTTCTTGTCATGGAGGAAGTCTGTCTCACAAATGAGGTCAACTTTTCCTTACTCAGACTCTCAAAATATAAGCCTCTCAGGTTTTGGAGGGATCAAGTTATGATTTAGGTAATGGAAGATTTACCTGAATGACCTCCCACATCTTAGTTTTCCTGGGCTCTGACCACCTTCTGTATTTTATGATCTGTGCTGATCTAGGATATTTCCATGTTGAAGTATTGCATTTAAGTAGCTAGGTGTTCTATTTCACTAAACACATAGGCAAATACACGCAAAAGAATCAAAGACAGGAACCTGCTGAGATGTAGTAATGCAATTATGATTCCCTCTTCTAGTTTCATACCAGTTTCCTGTCTTGGTTCTTATATTTAAGGTGTTCCATGGCACACTCATATGGTGATGGAGTGACTGGTTCCTCCAAATAGAGACAGAGGATTCTATCTCCCAGCCTGGCTTCAACAATCTCAATGAATTTATAGGCAGACAATTCAGCATTAATGATGAAATAATCACAGGCAACACATGGTACAAACATTAAATATTTGCAGAAGGTAATTCGGAAACATATACTTAATAATGCAAAACAGCACAATCAGGGTTATATTCCCGTTCCTTTTCCTGATCTGGGAGCATAGATTTGCTGTGAGTACCTTGGACAGATGTCTCACACCATTAGAGAAATTTGCAGTGTAGACTAGCATTGTATTATTAACTAAAAAAGGAAACAAGATCCTCAGGATGGATGTCTGATCAGATTATTTAAAAATACTAATAGCTATCATTAATTCTTTTCTATGTCACTATTCTAAGCACTTCACATATATTCACAGTAATTCAGTTAAATTGATTGTTTTTATTTCTATTTTTGCCCAAAGTCACTTGGTTTTGAGAGAGAAAAGATTCAAATCAAGGAAACCTGACTCCAGGGCAAAGCATGCTATACTCAATTTCAATAAATAAGTAAATGAATGAATGAATAGGTAGGTAGATAGATGCATAGACAGACAGACAGATAAATGACTTCATACCTCACATCAGGAAAGCACTTGCAGAAGTACCACACTTTGTACAATGGAATTAGTCTAACTGCTCATATGGCCATCTCCAGGCATCTGCATCCCGGTCACTGAGAGCATCTTAACACCTCACATCCCAGCTCTGGATGGCACTCGGCACAGAGATCAAAACCATGGTCATTACTCAAACCACGACTTGGGATGGCAGAATCTAGGAAGACCACACACCAAGATGTCACATATAAAAGGTAGGGCTATCTGTGGTTCTCTGTTTATTTTTTCTTGTTTTATAAGTAAGTAAAAAATAAAAATATGGATAATTAATTCCACTGGTTTCAGAAAAAAAATTGCAAGGAAGGTACTTTAATGGCAAGGTTGTAACTAAATATATTAATTCTTTATTTTAATGATGCTAGAGATATTTTAGAGTTCTTAAATTGTTAGAAAATATATATTATGAGAAATGCAATACCCTGACCAATCATGCCATTTCCTAAATAGCCCTTCCTTTTTACATAGAATTTAAAAGAAATCTTCTATACAAACATTCTTGTAACTTACATATCAAAGGATAAATTATTCTGAGATAGAAATGGGAAAATGTTTGCTGCCATATGATTAAATCACTAAGCTCTTGAGTCATTTTCTCGCCTAAGATTCAGAATTTTATTTCGCTATACAACTGACAATATGCTATTCATAAACCAACCTAAAAAAGAATTGGTTTAGGGCCGGCCCGGTGGCGCACTGCTACAGTGCGCCGCTTGGGAGCGCAGTGGCGCTCCCGCCGAGGGTTCGGATCCCACATACAGACCGGTTCCCGCTCACTGGCTGAGCGAGGGGCGGGTGCAGCACCAAGGATTGCAATCCCGTTGCCGGTCCCGGTCCGGTACGGGCGCGACACTGAGGGTTGCAGTCCGTTGCCGGACACGAAAAAAGACAAAAAGGAAAAAAAAAAAAAATTGATTTATAGTGGGATTATTTATCACTGTACAATCCTTTTTCTTGTCTCAAAATATTTGAAAAACCTAATGACAAATAGTAAAATTTTGAAAGCATGAAACACTTCCATTTTTAATGGAGGCTTTTCCCAAGCTATTCTGTGGAGTTCTATTTTTTTAAGAGCCTAAACGTGTGAGTGATTTCCTGCGGCTGCTAATCTCAGTGTTGCCTCACCCACTCCTGTAATTCTGAGCTCTACCACTACGTGGGTGACCGATTCTCTGCATTAATTATCTTCTGTTTTGAATAGTCAGAGTTTGTATGTTTGGGGCTCAACTCTTTTTTTTTTTTTTTTTTAAAGATGACTGATAAGCGGATCTTAACCCTTGACCTGGTGTTGTGAGCAACATGCTCACCCAGTGAGCAACCGGTCATCCCTATATGGGATCCAAACCCGTGGCCTTGGTGTTGTCAGCACCACACTCTCCCGAGTGAGCCATGGGCCGGCCGCCTGGGGCTCAACTTTTAACTGATACATGGTCTTAAGAGTCCCTGAGAATGTCAGCCTTCTCCTTGACTCAGAGGTTTGTTTATACCTTTCAAAAAGATATCAAATTAATTAATTTGAAAGCAATCTTTTTACTTTTTTACCCACTCACCAGGAAAAAAAATAATAATCAGGAAAATATCTAAAAGCAGACCATGACAAAGTAAAGAGAAGATGAATCACATCTTGGCTATTCATTAAACTTTATACTCAGATAACAAATAATGGAAATAGACAATAATGGATTTACATGATTAGCAAGAGAACCAGTTGGTATGAATCCAAGACTTTTCCAGACTTTTCATTATACATGGTGATATCATGGAAGATAGTATAAGTAAAAATATTTTATGTGCTTCTGATTGCAAAGTAGAATTTTTTCTAAAGTGTCATGGTGATATCTGTTGCTAATCATCTCTGTAGGGCATGAAGGAGACCCTTGTCTCCGGTCATCAGACTGCATTGAAGGGTTTTGCTGTGCTCGTCATTTCTGGACCAAAATCTGCAAACCAGTGCTCCATCAGGGGGAAGTCTGCACCAAACAACGCAAGAAGGGGTCTCATGGGCTGGAAATTTTCCAGCGGTGTGACTGTGCAAAGGGCCTGTCCTGCAAAGTTTGGAAAGATGCCACCTACTCCTCCAAAGCCAGACTCCATGTGTGTCAGAAAATCTGATCACCACTGAGGAAGAACATCACTAGCAGACTGTGAATTTGTGTATTTAATGCTTTATAGCATGGTGGAAAATAAAGTTTGGAATGCAAAAGAATGGCTAGGATAAGATATATGGTAAGAATATAGATCACAGAAGGAGAGAAAGAAAAAGAGAATTGAATGGATTAGAAAGGGTAAAACAACACAACCAGTGTGTTTCCATTATGCAACTTGTTTATGTAAATAATGTACACATTTGTGAAAATGCTATTATTAAAAAAAAAGCACACAGTGGAAATAACTGACGAATACGAAGTGACTTTCTAAGAATTTAGTTTGTGCTGGTGGAGGGGTTTCCTTCAGAATGGTGATTGCCTATAAAAATAACCCAAAAGCCATATTTCTACTCAAAATTATAGTTTATTAAAATACTCCCAGTACACTTTGGCAAAATAGGCTCTAAAACACGAAAAGAGATGTTAAACAGGAAATAAAAACATGGAACACAGGTAATTTGCAACATAGAAACACCTTTTAATTTGGAACACTACTTCCACTGCTCAGTTAAAGGCCTTGTTGGACAAGAAAACAGGCAGTCAATATTTTCCAAATAGTTTCAAAATAATGGAAGGTCTTTTAGTAGGGCCCTTAGAAAACAAAACAAAACATTTTTTCTCAAACTGCTTGTTTACATTTTTCAAAAATTCAATTTCAGCTATACTTAATAAGAACCAGTATAAGATTAAAAACAGTTCAGATTTTAAAGGAATGACATTGCATCTCTCTTAATCATATGTGATTTCTACCCTGAATACATTTTATTTTCCAAACTATACCCATTAATTGTGACTAGCATAGCACATGCACAGAGCAAAATTTTCACTGATTGCAAAAAACTTAAGGATGTCTAAAATATATGGGAAACAAAGCAAATGGAAAGATCATTATTTTTAAAAAGCTTTGACATGTCGTAGGTTTTCATAGAATTAGACTGGTAAATACATTTATTCTTTACATAATTTGCAGTAGAGTAAGGTAAAGCTGATGATAGAGACTTGAGCTACATCTGTACTGCACTGAAACACAGCAATGAAATGGGGAAAACTTTGTCAATTGTCCAGATTTTACCACAACGTAGATCATATGTTTGAAGCACAGGCTGCTTTTCGTCTTTGAAACCAGATGCTGCACAACCTAAATGAAGCTCTGCATGGGATTTGTTATCGTATTTACCACGCGGAGGAGTTCAGTGTGAGATCACTTACTCTAACTATCCTCAAAATATTTGTTTTATATTTTTGAGGTCCTAAAATGATATTAATATGAAGAGGTCTCATGAAATGGACTCCTAAGGTAGGTAGTGCAGTGAGGTTCCACTGGCCTCCATAAGCTTCTAACTGGCCTATGGCATCATCTCATTTTTCTGCATGAACTTCTCTCTGCAACAGCTGTTTTATTGCCAAAGATATAGTTTCCTTTTCTGCAGCCATTAAAAAATATAAATGGAATACCTTGTAAAATCTACATATCACTTATCTTAAAAACCACAGGTTCTAGATTCTTTTAAACCACTTTACATTTTTACTTAACTCTGTTCTAAAAATTACGTCTAGAGCATAAAAGAAAAAAAGGGTTATCTTACATTTGGTACTTTAAACTTTTATAGACTGCAAGTCACTCCTTAATTTTCTTTTACTTAAACCCCATCTGCAGTTTTAAATTCAAGTTTTCCCAATAGTAATTAAATCTTGAGCCTGTATATCTATTAATAATTTCAGCTTCCCACATGCATTTACTAGGATGATTAAGATTTATGTTTTCCTCACATGTCTACAAAAACAAAAATTATAAGCTAATTTATCCAAAAGCCAAAGTTTATACAAACAGATTGCTATGAGCTTGGTGACATGAAAATAGAACATTTCAGCCAAACATTTCCTATATAGCAATTACATTTACAATCTGGTTTCTGCATTATTTCCCTTATGTTCACCCTTTCAAAAATTAATATTTTTAAGTAATTTATTTACAGGAAATGTTAATGAGATGTATTTTCTTATAGAGATATTTCTTACAGAAAGCTTTGTAGCAGAATATATTTGTAGCTATTGACTTTGTAATTTAGGGGAAATGTATAATAAGATAAAATATATTAAATTTTTCTCTTCCAAAAATTGAATTCAAATTTCCTTGTGTTTTGCTGATGTGAAGAACTTTCATAGAACCATAGGTTCTCAGAGTTCAACTGAACTTGGTCTGATTTTATAGCCTGAGTGAGACTCCTTCGGATGACATTACCATGATGTGATCCAAAGCAGTGTACTGTTACAGTTTATTTCATGGCAAGACAGCTGTAATTGTTAGAAAATCAGTTTTTTTCATTAAGCCAAGTAGTCCAGCTTGTGATTTCCACTCATTTATTCTTACTTCAACTCTGAAACATTTTGGACCAAGGGCTTTCCACAAACTTCCTAAACATAATTGAAGAAAGGTAGCATATTCCCCATAATCTTCTCTCCAGGCTAAAATTTTCCGAAATGTAGATATCAATATGCTGAGGGTATTGATTCATTTTCATATGGTACAAAGAAGCTACAAGATGTCTTTATCTGTTTATGGAGGTAGACTGAGTTACCTGTCCCAGAGAGAACTCAAATGTATTCCTACAAAGTGGGTCTTTGCTTCCTGAACCCAGAGATGTCAGGAGTGTGTGATTAAACAGTACTCACCAATTACAAGACCAGGGCTGGTTGTAAGAGCCCATGTTGTATTATAGATGTTAACAGGCTGGAAATGTGGAAAATATTCTATGATGTTGTGGAATGGATTAAGTACATCTATGGTAGCTTAATGAAGCTAAAACTGTATAATAGCTAGAGCTTCGGAGTTGAAGATACTTCAAGCACTACTGAAATGATTTCCACAACATTTTAATGAGTCACTTAAGGATATTTTTAAACAGTTATTCATTCCCTCAAATTGAGAACATTTATATTTCCTAATTAAAGTGTTATTTTAGACTATAATGATCATTTGGGTGATATTTTTCTTTTCCATTTTACTCAGTGAGATGCGCTGAGAAATGAAAAATTGTCCTGACTTCCCTTTTTAGCCAAGAAACAAAATACCCTATTGTAGCCTTAGGATTTTAAGGGGAAACATTCAATTGCACTTCTTTCTTTACTCAAATTCAGGCCAGATGAGAAGGTTAAAGAAAAAAAGGCAGATGACAGATTACCCTATTGCTGATAAAGCTAACATTGGAGAATGTGGCGTATATCCATGGGCAAGAAGACATCCTAACATTCAACAACAGAAATAGATTCTGCACCCATTGGTAGGGAACATAGAGACTTCAGTTCTACCTTATGGGAGCTATCCTGTAAAATTTACAATGTGGATGGGCAGAACAGAATGCTTTATTCTGACAGCACCAAAAAAGAAGGGGTGAGCAAGGGACTGAGCTATGTGCTTCTCATTTAAAGATCTTATTTAAAATTCTCAAAAACTGGACTGTTCATATCACATGAGAGGAGTGAGTGAAGAATGGAGTGAGATAAAGATTATCATTCCACTCCACAATTAACAACTCTTCTCCCACCATATTATTCCCCAGATCTTTATATTTTTAAATCATTTGTCTAGGTGAAGGCATGGGTTTTAACCAAAATCTGATAAGCTATCTACTAGGGCAGTCCCAATGAGGTCATTTCCCTAATGCCAATTACCTATCTTTGTGTATGTTCTTGGGACCGGTGGTGGGGAAATTTAGATTTTGTACCCAGGAGTTTACAAAACGAATGAAAAATAGTACATTAATCAACTCCAAGACCACTCTATACCCAGGACAGGAAAATCTCTCCGCATCCTAAATTATATTTGTCATATTATCTTTTTACCATCCTAAATTACGTTTGTCGTATTATCTGACACAGTCAATCAAAGATTCTGCAGTGAGATTAAATGACACATTGAGTATCTGATAATAAAATGTATAAATGAATTTCAGTAATAAAATTCCAACAATACCCAGATACCCCACATTTATATATAACTCCCCTTCCATTGAAAATTTCCTAGGGAGAAACTAATGTACAAAAATTAAATTCTTCTGCATGTTAAAATCAAAATAAATTGAATTCCAAAGGAGTTCAAGCCAGTTGTTAACTCTCTTTTAAGAATGAGCCCAAAGAAATCAAAGTTCAAAATCTTCAAGTTAGTGGTTAAAGTTTTCCTCCCTTATTCCATAGTCTGCTCTTTCTTAGCCAGAGAGGTTCTTGATGCCTGGCTGAGCTGGTTCTTAAGGCCTGGGAGAACAGCTATGGCCTGGACAATCTCTCACTGGGATGAGTGCAGGTCCGACAGGACCTCGGAGGGCTTACTAGCTGGATAACAATTTCTGACATAGCTCACTTATGGTAAGGGTCAATGGATTATTAGGACACACGAGCTAAAGCTAAAGCTGCTACAACATTTAGAAAACAGGCCAATTTATACTTCTTAGAGCAGATATCTTCAGCAAAATGCTGTTAACACATTAGGACTTAGTGTTGCCAAAATCCACAGCAGAGATGTGTGGAATCTGAGTGAAGGAATATAGATGGAGAAATTTTTTTTTTTTTTGCTTGCTAAAAATGCCAGCCAATCAAAAGCAGGTGTCTGGAACCTATGACTTATGAGTTTAAACTTGTTTGGGGAAAAAGTCCCACCAGGAAGTTAGATATGGCACTATATTTTACTGTATGGTAGGGTGGAAGGAGAATCTACTTGTGAATTCTGCCTCCTTTTAGAGAGTGAGTGGTACTTGAAGCATGGCTGCCGGGATATAAAACTGGTCAAGTTTAGAAATTTGCCAAGACGCTAGCCTCATTAGAGCTTCTTTCTTATACACCTAGCATATTCAAAGCACCATCAGTGCTTCGTTGAGAATAGGCTATGTCTGGTGATGTGGCCTCTGCAATCTTTTGCAAGCTGACCTTCAGTAGGGCACTGCCGCCATGGCAGCTTCCACTCCTTCATGCTGTGGAATTATTTCCTCCCTCCTGTCTACATTTGTTGTAGTTGTAGAAGCACATGCACAGATTCCTGAACTAAAATTGCTATTGATACTTCTGAAAATAATTTTAGCAAAGGGTATGCTCCTAGGAGCCCAAAAGACACTTCCAACTTATATTTCTTCACTCAACATATTCACCTACTACATGCTAGACAACTTTGTTGGCACAGTGAGCAGAAGCAGAGAACCAAACCAATGAAGTCTATGCTCTCATTTTTGCATTCTAGTTATTTTTCTAGGGTAATGGCTAGGAGGCAGAAAATAACTAAGTAACAAATATGTCAATACTATTGGAGATAGAAATGAGCACTAGGAAGAGAACTGAAGTGGGGTAAAGGGACAAAAGGAGATGACGAGTGCTTTTTTTTTTTTTTTTTTTTTTTA